AGGGGCGTGGACCCCTGTATTTAGAGCTCTGGCTCCAAGTTCACGTCTTTCCACGTCAACTCCTCAGGACTCCCACCAAGCCCAGCCTTTGGCCTCTTAGCAGTCAGAGAAACTGAGGCCCGGAGAGAGAGGGGCAGAGCCCTGACCCCAGGGCGCGCAGGCAGGTGACTACGCATCCCGCGCGTCTGCCGCGCTCCTGGGACCGCTGTGCCGCCTGAGCCCCGAGCCGCGCACCCCTGGGCTCAAGCTCTTAGTTGGCGGCACGGAGTGTCCGTCTGTCTTTCAGTCTGTCTGTCTACGCGGGCTGCCTCCAGGCGTGTCTCCCCAAACTTAGATATGGTGGGGGCTTGGAGGGTCGCGGAGCGGAGCTGGCGCCCTCCACCTCTCCCACGGAAACCCCAGGTTCCAGGCCCGAACCGCCAGCCCAGGGCGGGGGTGGGGACGAGCAGGTGGAAGGCGCTGGAAGGCTGCAGGAGCAGGCGCGGCGGCCCAGGGTGCGCACGGCTGCCCTCGCAGCTCTACGCGTGAACGATCAGCGTATAAAGGCCCGCACCAGCCGAGTCTGGGCAAGCTATAGCCTACCTCGCTATAGGGGAAGACTACCCTCAAAAGGCACCATTGTGTGAACCAGGAGAGCTCGTTCCCCACTGGGAAGGCGATGGAGAGTGGGCGGGGCCAGCCAGACACCCCCTCACCCCCAGCCCCTAGCTCCCCCCAGCAGGGAAGTAGGTTACTCAGAAAAGCCTTTGTGATTGGGCCCAGGTCAGCCTTGGTGCTCATGAGGAAGCAAGTTAGGTTCGTGTGACCGTGGACGTGAGCTCCGTGGAACATGCTTGATTCCTTCTGGCTTCGGTTGAGTCGGGGGTAACTAATGGTGGCAACCTTAGGCACCAGTTAGCTCTGGGCTTGTTGGAACCTTGATGGCTTCCTATGAACCAACATCCTAGCAGAGTGACTGATGTCCTTGGAGACTTGGTCCTACAGTTCCCCGCCTCCGCGGCCTTGAACTGCCTGCCCCGCCCCTAACCACATCACCACCACCATGCCTTGCACGTGCTGTTCTCTCTGCTAGAGGGCCTTTCCATCCTTGCCTTCATCTGTGGCTTGGACAACTCCTCTTCCACTGTCCAGACTCCAGGCAAGAGTCAGAAGGGCCCGATTCTCCTACTGGCCCGGCTTTTAACACACTGACTGTGGATCTGAAACATTATGTTTCAGGTCCGGACAACTCCGCAGTAGTTCCTGAAGGCCCACTCCTCACTTGGGGAGTCAGCGAAGGCGCAGCTGAACCTTGGAGGACGGAGGGGCCTTGCTGGGGCATGGCCCCCCAAATCCCTCCTAACCTAGCCAAGGGGGCAGGAAAGGCTTTGGAGAGAAATAGACATTTTCTGGGATGGGCAGTAAGAGAGCCCTTTTATACGTGTTTCCTCATTTGCAGAATAGGAAAAATTAACTGTTAGTTTTGAAATTTTTGTCAGAGCCAATACGATGCAGCCATGCGGGGCCCAGCCCAGAGCAGTTGACCAGCAAGGTTTGCTGAATTTGTCCGTCCCTTGGCAATATAGAGGGAGCCTTGGAAGCTCAGTGGTTAAGCATTCAACTGCTAATCTTAAGGTCGGTGGCTCAAACCCACCAGCCCCTCTGTAGGAGACTAATGAGGCAGCCTTCCACTGTGGAAACAAGGGATTAAAAGATAATAAAGTTTTCCTGCAGACTCGCTGAAGCCTTCTTGTCTAACTAAAACATTTCCAGTAGCCACATTAGCAAAAGTAAAATGAAATCGATGATGCTAGATTTAAATGGTTTGGCCGAGCGGATTATGTGTTGGACTGCTAACCCTAAGGTCAGCAGTGCGAATCCACCAGCTGCGCTGCAGGAGGAAGATGAGGCTTTCTGCTCTGTAAAGATGTACGGCTTTGGAAACCCACAGGGGCAGTTCTACTCTGCCCTGGAGGGTCACTGTGAGTTAGAATTGACTCAATGGCAGTGAGTTCGAGAGTTTTTAGAGTTCTATCCCAGATACTGGAGACTGTGGGTGGTGCCCAGTGAGTGCCCTGGGCTGCTAACCAGAATATTGGAAGTTCAAGTCCACCTAGAGGGGGCCTGGGAAGAAAGGCCTGGTGATGAACTCCCGAAAAACCAGCCACTGAAAACCCTAAGGACACATTCTACTGTGACTCGCTGGGAGTCTCTAGAGTTGGGCAGAATTGGGTAGCTAATATCAAATGACCCATATAAAAATTAATGAGATTTTACGAGATACTATTTATAGTCATGGGGTACACCTTTCCTTTTTGCACTCAGTCTTGGAGATCCTGTGGACTCCGTTGGACACAGTGCGGCTCAGTTTGAAAGAGCCACGCTTCAAAGGCTCAGCAGCCCGGTGTGATCGGTGGCTACCGCGCTGGGCAGGGCAGCTGTGAGCTTCCTGAGGGCAGGCTCCAGGCCTGCGTGCACTGTGCCCAGCCATGCTTGGCCCTGGGGAGAGCAGGGTAACATGGTGGCCAAGGCCCGGGTTGGGCGCTGAGCTTTGCCACGTCACAGCTGTGTGACCTTGGTCAGCCTCGCGGGGTCTCCCTTTTCTGATCTATAAAGTGATCACGAGAATGCATTCAATACAGTTCACAATAGTAGGTACTTCAATAGATCCAGTTGACAGACTTTTACAGAACTGGGGGTGAGAGAGAAAGAAGTCTTCCCAGTAAGTTCATGGGCCGTAGGCAGACTAGAGCCCCTACCCCGCTCCCTGGCCTTTTGTCCTGATTGTATTTGGGGCCTGCGTTCCTGCTTTGGCTCTCAGAGCCCTGGGCTGCAGTGGGGTCAGGTGAGCAGGGGGGTGGGGAGGGCTGAGGCTTGCCCCAGTTTACCCCTGGTGGCTGCAGGGCCTTGCAGGTCTGGAGGCAGCCTCAACTCCATGCCCTGATGCCGATTCTGGGCTCGGTTCTGCATGTAGACACACAGCATTGCTAACCCACTCACAACCCCTTGCTCAAAAACAGCAAACCCACTGACTTCGAGTCGATGCAACCCTGTGGGACCGAGGGAATCTGCCCCTGAGGGTCTCCCCAGACGGTGACTCCTTCTGGGACTAGAAAGCCTGTCTCTCTCCGGAGGAGGAGTGGTTAGTGGTTCGCAGCCCAACACATGACCGGTGACACCCACAGGGCTCCCGTGCTAGGGAGTCGTTCTACCAAGGCCTGAGCAGCACAGAGAGGAAGTAGTTGCCTGGTGGGGTCGTGGGTTAAACCTTGGTCTGCTAACTGCCAGGTCAGCATTTCAAAACCAGCCGTCATGTTGAGGGAGAAAGTTGAGGCTGTTTGCTCCTGTGAAGATCTATAGCCTCAGAAGCCCTGGTGTGGGGGCTACTCACTGGAGGGCTGGGGGTTCAATCCTGCCCCCCATGAAGTCCTGCTCGTCTGTGGCTGCGCAGGTGGGTTAGGCGTTGCTTCCCGGGCCTCACTGGCTCAGCCTACTCTGAGGCCCCGCCCTTGGGGGACACAGGTGAGGTCCATAAGATCCCTGTCCTGAGGCCCCCGTGACGGGTCCGACTGTGTCCCTGAGGGTCGTTCTGTGTCTGAATGGGCTCAGTGGCAGCGGATGGGTTTATATCCTGCCTGAGGCCACACCGTCACCAAGAGCTAGAGCTGAGAGGGTGACCCTGGCCGTCAGGTCCAGAGCCTGTCACTCAACCTCACTCTGGTTCTCCTGACTCTTCCATGCGCCTCGCCCTGGCACGTCCAGGGAGCCACTCTATGGCTCGAGGCGCCCCTCTGATGGTGAGGAGGGTGGGGTCCCCAAGGCCCCTGTGTCTGCTGAACCAAGTGCGTGACTCTGTCCCCACCTCGGCCCTGGCAGGGGCTCTCACTCACCTAGCAGGTAGCAGGCACGTGGCGCCTGCTCTCTACAGAGCCCTCCCAGGAGCAGTGTGAGCACAATGAGGTCAGAGCCTGTAAGCGGAGGGTGTGGGTCTTGAACGCGTGTCTGCGGGATTCAGAGGCAATGTACCTGTCACAAGATAGCACAGGCTCCCTAGAGAGTTGTCCTACCCGATTCCCTGTGCAGAGAACTCCAGGGACCCAGCCCTGAGCCACGCCAAGGCCAGAGGCCTGCCAGGCCATGGCAACCCCAGCTTCTTCTCCATGGGCTGAGAGCACGTTCCTCTCCCCCTGCTCACCAGGGGACCCTGCTGGGGGCTGGGTCCGACAGGGGGGTGGTAGTGGGAGCACATCAGGCTCTGGGGTGGGTGGGCAGGCATCAGGAACAGCACTCAGAGGTTCTGGCGGCTGCGGCAGCAGCTCCAGTGGCTGATGCCTCTGCTGGGCCTGACCTGGGCTGGGCCCCAGAGCATTGCTCACAGGCCCATGGGGGACAAAGACATGCTCACGCGTTCACAGCCCAGTGCCTGCCAAGGCAGCAGTGTGTGCACAGTCCCACGGGACTGCAGTCACCGAGGACTCTGAGCCGTCACCGAGCCCCCCCAGAGGACCGGCATGGGAGTTGGTTCTTGGAGCAGAAGGAAATGCAGATGACACAAGAAGGAAAGGGCGCTCTGAGCGAAAGGAGCAGCATAGGCCAAGGGCTGGAGGGAGAAACCATTCAGAGCTGTGCATGACTAGGGGTGAGTGAGTGAGTGGGGAGGTGGGTGGGGACTTGGGTGAGTGGCAGAGACCAAGTCCTGAAGCTCCAGAATACTAGCAGACTGCAGACCCCGGACAAACCCGGCTGACCCTGGGTGTCGTCCCACCACGCCTTCCAGCAGAGGGAAAGGCCTGGCCAGGCCCAGCACTAGTGACTGCTCTTCCCGAGCCTCACTTCCCCTCTGTGAATTGAAGGTGGGGATTCCCTGGGGCCTGGCCCCGCAAGGTCGGGGAAGCCTTGCAGGCAGCTTTGATGGGGTGGGGAGAGGGCAGGCCCTCAGTAGGTCACCTGGGTGCCCAGGACAGAATAGGTGCTGCCTGGATCCCAAGAGGCCTGTGTGATGACTTCCAGGGTCTCCCGCAGGCACCATGGCCCGGAGCAGGGTGCTGCTGCTCCTGCTGCTGCTGCTGCCGCCACAGCAACTGCACCTGGGATGGGTGCTCTCGGCGAGGACCCCTGCAGTAGCCCTAGCCAGCACTCCCAGCCCCAGCCCTGAGGAGAACGAGTTCTTGGAGGGGCCAGTGCTGATCCTGAACCCAGAAGAACCGAGGCCTGGCCCAGCCACGGTCGACTGCCCCCGTGAATGTACCTGTTCCCAGGAGGGTGTTGTGGACTGCAGCGGCATTGATCTGCGAGAGTTCCCAGGGGACCTGCCGGAGCACACCAATCACCTCTCCCTGCAGGTGAGGCCCTGGGAGGCTCACGGTTCCCCTGCCGGACCCCCACACTCATGTTCCAGTCTCCTGGCTGCTTTAGTGTTCACGCTTCTTGCCTGCCCTGCCCCCAACTATCAGGGCTCCCCAGGCCCTTGGAGTTCTGCCCCATCCGTGTAACCTCCTTTCCAGGTGTCCCACCTAGAACATCTCATTTGGAGGACATAGGTCCACCCAGCAGCTGGTCCTCTGAACAGAGACCCCCTGGCAGGGTGGGGGATAAGAGCAAAGTGGGCCCCAGCGGCAGGGCTTTCTGGGGTGGGGGGTGAGTTGGGCAGAGGACATCGAGCACCTCAGCTGGGAGCCTGGGGTCTGAGCAGGTCTGGAGACAGGGCACAGCCCCTGGAAGAGGAGAGACAAGAGAGTGGCATTGGTGTGGCTGGAGTTGCCACCCAGTGGCCCTGGGGGTGAGTCACATCAGATTCCAGAGGAGAATCAGTCCCAGTGACCCTCTGGGTCGCACAACATTGGCGGCTGGGTGGGGTGTGTATGTGTGGGATGGGTGCCAATCCCTAGAAGCCGCTGGGGGAAGGGGCAAGTGGGAGATACCACTTACTGATGTTCACTTGTTCATTCAGTCATTAACGATATCCTGGCAGCATGCTCTGTGTTTCTGTCCTGTGTTGGGGGTGGGGTGGGGGGCTTGGACGCGCCCTGTCCCTGAGGCGATCCCGGGCTGTGAAGGGTCAGAGACGTCAACAGAGTGGGCTTCTGGCTGAGCAGAGGGGACAGAGGGGCTGTGAGGGTAGAGCAGGCTCCTCTCGGAGCCTGGGAAGGTTCCCGGAGGAGACTTCAGAGCCTCTGGCGCCGGGACACGGGCCTCCGGATGGAGGCAGGGTGGGGAATAAGAGCAAATCGGATCCCGGCCTCTGGAGTGCTCCCAGGCCCCTCGGACTGATGCTGACCTTCCGTCCCCACAGAACAACCAGCTAGAGAAGATCTACCCCGAGGAGCTCTCCCGCCTGCACCTGCTGGAGACCCTGAACCTCCAGAACAACCGGCTGACGTCCCGAGGTGAGGGGTCCCCCACGCCCGGGGTCAGGGCACCGTGCCAGGGAGCCAGGCCACCAGGGTAGAGGTTGGCTCTGGGGACCTAGGTGTGGGGAAGAGCAGGCCTTACTGGGCTGGGGCGAGGCCAGGCAGGGACCAGGTCCACCCAGGGCGGGGCTGCCGGAGCCGGTGTCCTGCCTCTCCTCTGCCTCCCTCAGGCCCGGGGCCTCGGAGCTGGGTGAGGAGAGAACCTCGGAGAAGCTGGGACTGCAGGGTCTTGGTCAGAGGACCAAAGCATTGTAGTCATCAAGGTCGATGAGCTTATTTTCTTCTGATGAAAGGGATATACGAATATGATAGGGGAAAAAAACCAACCTTAAAAACCTGACATTGCCACGTGTAGTCAATCCCGATCGGCGTCTTGGCATCCTTTTTTTCTCCCACTTAAAAAAACAAAGAAAAGCTTTGCTGAGGTCTTATTTATACACCATCACATGTAGTCCGTGTTTGAGGTCATGAATTCACGCTGCCGCGCAGCCCCCACCGAAAGCCGATCCGGCCTTGTGTAGAGCTGCAGACACCCTCCCCACCCCCAACCCCCGAGTGGAGATGGGCTGTGTTTCGCCCAGCAGTGGCCTGTCGGGAGCGAGAGTTCTGTGGAGAGGATGCTCCGGTTTATGTAACTGTTCCCTCCTTAGTGACGTGGCTGAGGTCCAGGGTCAGAGGGTCTCAGAGCCAGGAACTTAGTGTCAGAGGCCAGGCTCCAGGCTGGCTGAGCTCCCAGCAACTGCTGGGCCCTGACAGGACATCTGCGTGGTGGGGCAAGGGCCTTCCAGGTGTCTGGGAAGTCAGGGCCCGAAACTCAACCCCACCTGCCTGGGGGCTGGTTGTGAAGTGAAGCTTGTGCCCCCACTTCCCCCCTGGGAGTAGTTCTTTTTTCCTGTCAGGACAGGGTCTGGCTGGGTCCCCTGTTCTGTGTCCTGACCTTCCTTGGCTCTGGCCCCACCCTGGCTGCTCTGAGCGGGGTCAAGGGTCAGGCAGTTCCCCAACACACACTCCCTGCCCCCACCTCTGAGCGTGGGCCCGCCAAGGAAATGGGAAAGGAGGGTGGTGTGAGCAGGCCCCTTGGGCCTGTGGGGTGGGGCGGCTGGTACCCCGTGAGCTCCCGGTAGCATCTCCTTCATCCAGGGCTCTGACCGCTGCCTGTCCTTTGAAGGGCTCCCGGAGGAGGCGTTCAAGCACCTGACCAACCTCAATTACCTGTACCTGGCCAATAACAAGGTGAGGGGTCCAGGCAGAGCAGGGGTGGGGGTGGCTGTCCTCCCCGGTGTTCCGTGAACTTTCCCCAGTTGTCTTCTTGGCTGCTCGTTGGGTCCCCACTGCTGCTCTGACATGGCCTAGTGGGGATGGACACAGCGCCCTCCCCCAGCTAGTGGCCAATGTGGTCAGGGAATGAGGACAGAAGCCAAGGCCTGCAGGCGCACAGGGGAGAGCGAGCTCCTCACCGGTGAGGAGGGGGCCCTCGGAGGGCTTCCTGAAGGAGCTGGTATTGAGAGTTGCGAGGCTTCAGCCTGTGGCCCTGAGCAGGAGGGCACTGCAGGAGCGAAGCTGCATCTTGGCCCCTTGGCCGTCTGACATTGCCTGAGGCAGCCGGTCCTCCCTGTGGGCTTGAGCCCCCAACTCTCCCTCATGGCCTCCCCTCAGGTTAGTCTGCAGCCCTTCCCACTCCGCTGGGCCTCAGAGACCTGGTGCCTTCTTGCCGTCTCTCCTGAGCTGTCCATTAAAGCAGAACCAGTCCCCAGAGCAGACCCCACAGTTGCCCCAGTTCTGCGGGACCCTGGGTCCAAGGGACCAAGTCTGGGGGTGCTTCTGGATTTTGTGCTGCCTCCCACCCTCCGCTCCCGGGGCTCTTTCACTGTCCTGTTGTTGCCGGCTGCTGTGGAGCTTGGCATGCGTTAGCGAAGAACCGTGCTCCTGGTGCTGCCCCAAGACCTGTCTTCTAATGAGCCTCTGGGTCAACCTCTAACCTTTCAGTTGGCAGCCGAGAGCATGCAGTGAGTGCTGTTGGCTGGATGGCGGGTGGGCATCATGGGGTGTTGGGGATGCCTGGATGGCTCACAGTGACTGGAGCAGGGACCAGGGCCTGGAGAGTCTTGTTCCTAGATCAGGGTTTGAATGATCAGCAGGACAGAGTTCCATCTGAGAAAGAGGGCCCTGTGTGTAGCACAGAGACGGGCAAGCCTCTGCCCTTCGGTCTGCCCATTTAACTCCTCTCTTCCCAGCTGACCTTGGCGCCCCGATTCCTGCCGAACACCCTGGTCAGTGTGGACTTTGCTGCCAACTATCTCACCAAGATCTACGGGCTCACCTTTGGCCAGAAACCAAACTTGAGGTCAGAGGTCAAAGGGGGTGATGGTCCTGGGCTCAGCCTGGGGGAGGTACCTTGTTAGGAAGGGAGGGGACCCAGAGAGGCCCTGAGGAGGAGGGTGCTGTGTAGGAGAGGCTGATCCCTGCAGCAATTGGGGGGAAGCTGGGTCAGGAAAGAAAGACGTTCCCTGCCCCTTGGAAACTGCCGTGCGTGTGTGTGTGTGTGTGTGTGTGTGTGTGTGTGTGTGTGTGTGTAGGGGGGCTCCGGCAGCACAGGTGTGAGCAGGGCAGGAGGCCCTGTGGGGGAAGGAGGTCGCTATGTCCTTGAAGTTGCTTCTGCTCTGGAATCTATCATGCACCCTCGAGGAGCCGCGTGCCCTCATCCCACAGAGAAGAAGATGAGTCCCCAGAAGGGCCACCCAACACAGCAAGACTTTTGTGCGTTGATCTGGTTCCTTGTCCCCACCCCTCCCCGGAGGACAGCTCCAGGGGGCAGGGTTGGTACTTGGGTTCAGACCAGGGCTGGCACATCGTGGCAGTCATTGTATATCTGTTGAATGAATGAGGGCTCATCCCCTCTGGTCCAGGCCATGTGCAGGGTGCCCTGGGGACAGAGGTGGGTGGGCAAGCCCATGTTGACTCACCCGACCCGGTGGGGCTGGGTAGGACCGCCTCTGTGGGTTTCTGAGCCTGCAGCTCTTTAACAGAGTAGAAAGCCCTTTCTCATGAAGAGTGGCTGGTGGTTTTGAACTGCTGACCTTGTGGTGAGCAATCCCACTTGTAGCCACTACCTCACTGGGGCCTGTCTTCAGGCAGTCTCACAGAGCTTAGAGCCAGGGTGTATGGTTGACAGGCAGGGCTGCCAGAATGGAGGAGGCAGGGACTTCAGGGCCAGCAGGGGGCAGAACTGAGGACTTTGAAGGATGTGGAAGTGGATCCCATTAGGGTCCTTGAAGCTGGCTGTGAATCCTCTATTGTTGCCCTGCCTTGGGGAGTGGGGGTGGCTCTAGTGATCTCTGCCCCTCCTAGTCCTTGGTCTCCTCTCTCTGAGACTCTGCTTACTCCGCATCCTTGACTTGGATGGGCGGAGGAGGACACCCTGGGTTCCAAGTGGCCTGATCCCGGGCGTCGAGGCTCCCAGGGTGAGGGGCTGAGAGGCTGCACCTGCTCCCCAGGTCTGTGTACCTGCACAACAACAAGCTGGCCGACGCGGGGCTGCCAGACAACATGTTCAACGGCTCCAGCAATGTGGAGGTCCTCATCCTGTCCAGCAACTTCCTGCGCCACGTGCCCAAACACCTGCCACCTGCCCTCTACAAGCTGCACCTCAAGGTGGGCAGAGAAGACCCCCAGCTGGGGACCCGCAGTGGGGGCAGTGGCACCTGCAGGGAAGCAGGCTAGTGCCTGGGCTCTGTGTTATAGAGCCACAGATGCCAGGCGGGAGCCCCGCCCCATCCCCAACTCCTCCGGAGCCCT